ACTGGAGTTGGGGGGGGGAGAGGTGGGCAGGGAGAAAAATGCAACAAGAATGAATGGAAATCCAAAGTCTCTGTATATTTCCATTAAAATTAATTTAAAAAATGATAAAGAAGTCAAACTTAATCAAATAAATCAATGTTACTCAATTCCAAAAATTAAAAAAATTAAAATATATACATCATTCTGTAAATACTTTCTCATCCTTTTCCTGAGAAACTCCTTTAGCCTCTGAAAAGACTAATTCATTACACATTTACTTAAAACTTTTGCTATTGTGAGAGTGCCTAATACTATAAAAACTGATACTGCATCTGCTCTCATAAACTTAAAGTTTTCTTTTGTTATTATAATATAACACATGTTTTATTGTTTCAGAAAATAGTACAAAATAAGTATAAAAAAATAGAACATTAAAAAGAATACCTTTTAAAATAAAAAGGGAGAATGGAGGAAAGTAATATTCCTAAGAAAAGATTTTTAATTGCCTTATATACTTTAAATTTTTTAAATCTGAATTCAGATGGGATATCAGTAGCAGAATCACAATGGCAGAGATATGATAAAGAAAAAGCTTCTGATTTAAATCAACCCATTTATTATTATTGTTATTTGGACCAAAATACTGATACTTGGAAATCTGGTCATATACTAAAATGGGGAAGAGGTTTTGCTTATATCTCCACAGAGAATAAAGAAAATAGATTCCTGACAAAAGGCTTTAACTTCAACATGGCGAATAAAAGAAAGTTTAACATGCTGAATCGAAATGCAGAATTCGCTAAATTGGATCTACGTTGGCAACCTTTCGTGAATACCCTTCGAGTGAATCTGCCTACTTGAGGGCAATTAAAGAAGTTAACTCAAGAAGGAGAAAAAATAGTGACTCAAGATGGACAAGTTTTAAATCCATCCACTCTGCTTTTAGCTATGATTGCTATCGTATCTACTACTCAAGTTCATATGGTAACAAGGAAAGAAAATTAAACATATTGGGCTTATATCCCTAACCATTATTAAAAGCTGTTAGTTGGTGGGATCCTAGCGTTAACGTGTATATAAATAATTTTAATTGGCTACCTGGAACTTTTGATATTAGGGGACCTGCCATGCCACAAGAGAAGGAAAAAGTACAGATAATTATACCACTGAAGATATTGGAACTCCTATTTGCTTAGTAAATGAGCAACATTGTATACAATTGTTGAATGAAGCCTAGTTATTTATTATTAAAAATATCACTTTAAGAAAAAGAAATTTTTTATATTAACTGCAAAAGAGTTTAGTACTCCTAGTTTCACCCAAGATAATGTTCCAAATTTGCCTCCATGCCAAATTCCTGTGTTTGCATATTTAAACAACTGAATACATTGAACTCAATGCAGAGGTGAATCTGCTTAATACTTCCTATGGGAGCATCGAGAAAAAAGTCCCAAGTTAGATCTTAAATGGAACAAAATTAATATACTATAGAGACACGTAGAAGAGAAATGGCTGTCCCTTCCCCACATATAAAAGGATATCCTCATCAAGAAAACATTTAAAAATTAAAATCAGCGCTAGGAGCTACCACAGTGTGGAGTGGTTTAATAACAAGTCGTTCCAATAACTATATACTAAGTTTTAAACAAAACATTATGAAAGATATCCAAAGTTGTGTCAAGTTACCTTAAATATTATAAAAAGAGTTATTAATTGGAATGATACAACAAGCTTAATAAATTGTCAGTATTCTATATTATATACCTGCTTAAATAAGAGCATTCAATTTAGTATATATAAAAAAAGTATATATATTTTAAGAGCTAGAGAAAGTGTCTAGTTACCTGTTAACTAAGACATAGCAGGAATCTTCCAACACTTTAATAATTCAGGCTTTAGTAAAAGGACTACTAAAAAAACAAAAAAAGACTTACAGGTGTTTTAATAGCTACTATTATGGATTTCATTGCTGTAACTACAACTGCCACTACTGCTGGAGTGGCTCTCTAAGTGTTCAAACTACTGAATTTATATTGATTTATAGCAAGCCTTATTAGAAGATCAAGTTGAAAGCTTACGAAAACAAATTTAACTAAAATGTGATTGGAATATAACTTCTTTTTGGGTAATGCCTGAAAGATATAATACAAACTTATTTCCTTTGGATAAAGTTAAAAAACAATTATTTGCACATCAAAATTTATCACAATCTATTTAGAACTACAAAGTTATATTCTAAATTCTTTCAAAACTAAATTAAAATTAATTACAAGACAAAATATATTTCAAAAGTTTTCTGATATTATTTCTTTAAATCTTACAAAATACATTTCATCTTTATTTAAGACCACTTCAAGTATGCTGTTAATCATAATGATATTATTGTTTATACTTTATATAGTCTGTCGACGATACCAAGCTGCCAACCAAATAAAACAACAACAAACTACTGTGTTTTCTGTTATAATTAACAACAAACTGTCTAAGGAGTTAAAAGAGAAGGGGGAAATGTAGTATTACTTCAAGGCAAGAGATATGTGTCTTCAGGACCTGGCTGCGTGATTTGCATGTGAGGCATGCCAAGAAAGAGGATTGCAAATGATCCTTGTGCTTCCTGGAACACACACTCCCTTGAAGATAGAAGTAGATGTTCTTGTTCCTGATAAAGTTGTTATGAATATAAGAAAACACAGTAATGCAGTTTGTGAATCCAAAGAAGTCTTGTTTGAATAAATGTCTCTTATCTATCGGTGAACTTCGCCCATACTGGCCCTATGAAGTAATTCTTAAAGTTTCCATTTCTTTGTAAACTATTTGTTTCTGAATGCTAATAAAAGCAGGGGCTCTGAAGCTGCCCAGGGTCATTTGCATGAGCAAGCTTTAACCCTCTAGAAAAACTACATTAACTTTGCTGGTCTTTCTTCGACCCTGCTCATATCAAACAACACTTCTTCTGTCTTAGTTATTACCTAGCTCTCTGATGAATTGCAAAGACCATGGCCTGGATCAGGTGCACCTTAGTCTCTGGACTGACATCTTCGCTTCTCAGTACTTTGGAGAGGACCCTGGCAGCAGATTTCCCCAGTGCAATTTGTCATTTGATTTCCTGACTGCTAGTGCCAAGAGTGTTGACTGTGGAACTGAGCAAGCTGTAATTGTTAACAACCTCAAACTCTTCTCCATCAACCATGATGCTGTCAATTGGCCCAGTGGTAAGAATCTTTGTTTTCTTGATGTTGAGCTTCAATCTACATTGAAGATGACAGTCTTTGACCTTCTGCATCAAGTGCTTCAGGTCCTCCTTAGTTTCAGTAAGTAAGGTTGTATCATCTGCATAATGTAGGTTGTTGATGAGTCTTCCTCACATTCTGATGTCACATTCCTCCTCATAAAGCCTAGCCTCCCAAATGGTCTGTTCTGCATATAAATTGAAAAGGTATGGCCATAGGACACATCCCTGACACACTCCTTTCCTAAGTGTTTCCTTGCTCTGTTTGAGGACTGCTTCCTGGTCTGAGTATAGGTTTTGCATGATTCAACAGCAAGGATTTTTTGTTTTGTTTTGTTTGGGTCTCAGTTTCTTCATGGCTCCACAAATGTCTTAGACTAGATACATTTTACAAGTGTAGAAATAGAAGTGCTCAGCATCCTGCCAGCTGTTCCTGCAGCCATGAAAGTCATTTGGTAGGTCTGGTCTCTGAAGGGCATCTTCCCTTGCAGAATTCACATCTCAGGAGAGGGAGTCTTTCACAAACCCAACAACTCAACACACCAATTTTCTGAATCCTACTTCCCTGTGTTTACCTCCTTTATGAGGGCTTCCTTCCAGACATTGAAGTATTTAAGAATCTGAGACAAGCTTTGTATGAGTTTGCCTCAGCTGGTCCTGGCTGATAACAAGCACACAGCCACTTCAACATATATAATGTCACCTGTGCCAGACTACATATTTCATAGACATAATAATTTCTTTTTACTGCAACTTATCTTATACGTGAGGAGTGCTCTGCTGTATGGTTTGTTGGTTTTGCTTTTTGTTTGTTTGTTTGTTTTTTTAACGAAAAGGAAATGGGGTTAAGGAACTTGCCTAAGGCCATAGAGGTAGTAGTAAATAGTGGAGTTGGGATTGAACCCTTCCAGAAATGCTGAAATAGAAAAAAGTCACCTGAGGTTTCAGATCACCTATGAGTAGAGTGCAAGCACACACAAGGAGAACTGGGACAAACTCTCAAGGGGTGGGGGTGGGAGGGAGGGAGAGAGAAAGGGAGAGGGAGAGGGACAGAGAGAGAGGGAACCAGAAGCTAGGATGATAAACATGGGGCCTTGGACCCTACAGCCTCTTGTCCTGAAGGCCTTTGGCTAGCCCATTTATGCTAAAATGAGCATATGTGCCTATGCTTGAGTTGTGGGAGTCTAAGCTAGGTGGTGAGGTTTCATGTCAGGGGCACAATGATCTTGATACACTGAGAGGCTAGGTTTACTGCCAGGTTGCTGAATCCAAGTGGGGGCCTCCAGGTGCAGTTCTTGTTTCCTAAGTGGTGGAGGCTGCTCTTTTACCCTGTTGTTGTGTACCTTCAAGACGTAATAGATCTCTAGCTGACTCTCCAGTAGGTTTTCAGAGGTAGTTTAATTGCCTAGGAGGAGACTGTCCATCTTACTCTCGTCGAACAGCTGGTGGATTTGAACCAGGTGCCTTACTCCTTCTTCCTAAACCTCTGCCAATCCCAAGAAGAGCTCAACAAACTAAAATCAGTGCAGCGAACCTGAAGTAAACTAGGAGTGCTGACCATGTGCACGCGTCGCGGATTTGCTGGGTCTGGACTGTGCTTCGGCCCTTTCCGCAACCTCTTTTTGCGCGCCTTTTCTCTGAAGGGCGCTGAGGGAGGGTGCTTCAGAAGCGCAGGGGCAAGCAAGTGGGTGGTACCTAGAAGGCGGAGACGAGGCGGGCCTGCCGAGACCAGGGACGCACCCTGGCTTTGGCGGATGCGGCGGCAGAACGGGCTTCGGGCGCAGCTGGCAGGATGGTGGTGCCCAGGCTGGGCCGCAGCGTCGGGCATCTCTTGGACAGACTGTGCAGACATTCAGGGCTACTGGCCCAGCCACTCAGCGGAGCCACTGCACGTAGGGGGCAGGCCTCGGGGCGCCCCGGCAGCAACCCCGGGGCTCCGCCTGGATCGTACTCGGCGCTGAGAGCACAAGCAGCCCGGGAGCCAGCCGCCTTTTGGGGGCCACTAGCCCGAGACACGCTAGTGTGGGACACCCCTTTCCATACTGTCTGGGACTGTGACTTCAGCAGTGGCAAAATTGGCTGGTTCCTGGGAGGCCAGTTAAACGTGTCTGGTGAGTATTCTGGGGGACCCAGAGGTTCCCAACTCATGGGTCCCAAAGGGCTCAAAGACTCCTTGCCAGCAGCAGAAGTGGCCTGACCAGGCGTTCCTCCAGCAGCGTCTTGACAGCCCCATCAGAGTTCTCTCCTCAATCGGCCTACCTCATTTGCCCCAGCCCTTGGTTGCCATGCCACCCTCCACCCAGACCCCACCAAGTCTGAGACTCTAGCCCCAGGCTCGTGGCCCAGCGGGGAGCCCCTAATCAGCTTCCCATCTCTCTAGATGTAAGCCAGTTTGGGAACTCAACTGCTGGCATTGCTGACTGAGGCAGATTCTTAATCTGTTTGTTCCAAAGTTTAATGACTATTTCACAGTCATTTGATGGAGCGCCAGCTTGCAAGGGCACCTGGTGGCAGCAGAACTGAGCCAAGGTGGAGGGTGTGGGCGCTCTGGAGTTGAGGCTTGACCCTCTCGGTCTCCGGCTGCAGGCGGAAACGAAAGGCCACGTATAGCGCTGGCGGAGCTGGAGCACAGTGCGCAGTCGCTATGTGGAGAGTCCTGAACTAGTAAACAAAGAGCGCTGGTAGGTGACCCCTGAGCTGAGAGAATTCCAGCACAGCCACTGGGAGCCATTTTCTCCTTGCTGCGGCCTGAACATAGGAAAGGTGGCAGATCCATGCATTCCAGGCGTCAGTTCTGGAACCCACAGTTTTGGTGTGTGCCAGAGCTGCAGAGCTGCCTTAGGTCTGGGCTCCACAAGTCCCAGAAAGCGGCTCCACTGGCCACTCTCATTGTCGCATTTGCTGAAAATGCACCCACGACTTTGTTAAGATTTGGAGTTGATTGCTTCTCGGCCTTTTGGCTAAGATCAAGTGAAGATTTGGAGTTGAGAGGACATACTTTGTGCCTTTCTTTAATCAAAGGTGCGATCTAGCTTAGTAGGAAAGGGGAAGAGGCCATGGACAGGAGCCAATGGCTCCCTGAAGCTAGCGCTGGGAAGGAGTCTTCTTGAGGCAAGGCCAGATGGCCCAGAGGTCCTGAGCTGCCCCAGAGGACCGGAATAAGAGTTAGGTGAAGAGTCTTTCAAAGACAAACAAACAAAAACCAAAACAAACTTAAAAGTTTCTGGAAGTGTAATCCTTAATGTGCTGAGCTGCTAACCAAAAGGCTGAATGTCCAATCCACCAGACTCTACCAACGAGCTAGTCTCCTCCCATTGAGATTCTTAAAGCCTTGGAAATTGACGGAGGGCCAGAACCTACTGGACTGTTGGGAATCCATCCACTTCATGCCAAGACCCACCATTCCCTAGTCTAGTCATTCTACTCCTACCCTCAGTTTCCACAGGTTTAAAATGGGACTATGAAGCCTATGCCTTTAGACTCATTGTGAAGTGTCTAAAAGGTTCAGCTAAAGCCCTATTGATAATCAATAGGATGTAGCATTTTCAATTAATTCAGTGATGGGGTAATGGGTGTGGATATGTCAGAGAGTGAGAGTGGCACAGGATAGAGCAGGGTTTAGAGCTATTGTACATAGGGTCGCTATGAGTCACAGGTGTCTTGAAAGCACATAACAATTGTTATAAAATTGCATGTAGTACCTTGCAGTTATTTTTCAAACTAAGGGAGCTCTAATCAGTTTTTATTTTGGTGGGTTTTTTTAAAATTGTATATTATTTTGCTGGCCTAGTAAAATAAAATAAGTCACTTATTAGAAAAGTAGGATGGCATAGTGGCATCCACTTTCTAAACAACATGCCTCCAAAAACTATATGAACTTTGATAAATGTCGATAGTTGTTGAGGGGCATTAGGCCTTTTTGTTCATAGGGTCAGTATGAGTCGTGCCCAACTTGAAGGCAGTCAACAATTAGAAAAGTGTTTTCTTTGAAATTGAATCAGCACCATGCATCTTTGTTCTACTCAGGGGAAAACCCCTTGAGCTTTGTAGTCAGTGGAATGTGTCCTTGAAGGAGAGAAGGACAATTTATAGAAAGAACAGGGAGGAAAGTGTATAGCTTCATGGGAAGTGCTCCACCTTGACGACTTGGGGCTGATTGGAAGTCTTTGGTTGGCTCCTGCAAAGTTGCAGCCTATGGCAAGGGCCTCTTCTCTTGGGACTGAGGGTAATCAGTGTTCAATTCTGCCTGCCTTTTCCTTCATTTATTTCTTCCAAAGATGTTGTCTCTACAGCTAGTAAAAAATTGGACTTAAGAAAACTCTTGTGTAGAAGACTTGCTTTTTAGCATCATTCTTACCTCAAATACTATACCCATCTGTCCATGAATGTGTTCTATTTGCCAATGTCTACAAACACAGAGCTGACAACGTGAAGGGCCAAACCAGGTCACAACTGCAGTAGAAAGTTTTAGAAATTACATTGGCCTGATATGTCAGTTCCAAAGGAACAGCACTCTTGAAGCTTTCCGTGTACCTTCAGGAATATCCTTCCTGAGAGTTTTCATTGGCATATACACTGGCTGGGTTGGAGCTCAGCTGGAAGGACGTGGAGGTTGAGGTCAGTGGGGGCTGTGAAACAAAGCACCAGCGTACAGCTTCTCAATGGGCCTTGGAGTGGCTGTAGTGAGAAATTGGAGAGACCCAGGCCAAAGCTTTTCAGCTTCTTCTGAACCTCCTGTTTAACTTAGTTGGATACCTTCCTACAGTTTCCCTGAGCGGTAGGCATCAGTTCCTTATCACTAAGTATCAACATAGCTGCCTGGAGGCCTGTTGCTGGATTGATGGTATGTTCACAAAGCAGTCAGCACTGCCCTCAGCCAGTTACAAACAGCAAGGAACTGACTGTTACTGTTTATTAAGAAGCATGGGGGTTTGGTATTATGGCCTCTGCAGGTAGCCTTCAGCAAGGCTGAATCCCCCCAGGTCTGTGCCTGAGCAGCTTGAGCAAGGGGAGGCAGGCACCAAGAGTGCAATGTTGGCTGCTTGAATGGCCCTTGAAGTACCAGTGTCTGACCATTCCATGCCAAATCTATTTCCCAAATCCCAAATTATGAGTTTTTCTGATCTTGTAATAAGTGTGTGTATTTTCTTTGTATATGTTACATAAGGAAATTATTTTAATGTTTCTGGGACATGAATTGCAGGAATGGGGATATTATCTCTGAGACATCCCAGAATACTCAGGGAACAGATACATTAAGGTGTCAAAACACCACACTCCGGTTTATTTTTCTTTCTAATGATCTTGTTTGCAGTATTGCAAGGTAGTCCACCCATATCCTGGGAGGATGTTCTTTTAGAAATCTTCTTTTTCATCTCTCCAGTTACCAAGGATGTGGCTTTCTTTAAATAGCTGATGTTTATGGAAAGATGACAAATATAATTTTGGTGACAGATGTACTATTTAAAAATGTGCCAAGGAAGAGAGCTCTGGTGGCCTGGTGGCAAGAAGCTGCACTGCAATCCCAAAATCATGTGGTTCTAATCTATGCTGGAGAAGGAAGGGCAATCTCCTCCTGTGCCAGTTGGATCAGATTCGATGGTAAACAATCAGAAAAAGGAGGAAAATGTGCCAAGGAAGCTTGTTATTTAAAGAAAACCCACTGTGAATAAATTTGTGAATATTGCTCTCATTTGTCTTGATCAAAACTTTATTTTTCAATGTTGAGTTTATTTAAATTTAAATGGACATAGGACCAGAGGGATCAACTTCAAGTAAACAACAGACGAGTCTGTAAAGTGAATAACCATCAGCAAGGAATGTATTCCTCAGCACAGACACTTGTAGGAGACCAAAAGGGCAACATTTATCCCAAAACAAAGTTCAAAAGACAGAAAAGGGCAGGATAGGAGGAGGAGTAGAAATAGGGAATCCCAGCGAGGAAGTGAGAGAGTGCTGTTACATTGGTACAACTGCGGCAAATATCATGAGGCAAAATATAAATAGATTGTTGAATGGAAAACTAATTTGCTTGCAACGAGCCTTTAGTTAGGGATCTCTGGTGGCTTAGGGGTTAGGGAGTTGTGCAGCCAGTCAAAAGGTGAGCAGTTTGAATCTACCATCTGTTTTGTGGGAGAAAGATGAGAAATCCCCTCCTTTGTGATTTACAACCTCTGAAAACCCTCTAGCCTGAATAGCAGTGAGAGAGAGCGCGCACGAGCGAGAGAGCGAGCACGCAAGCAGCATTAGCTGCATGGTGTGTGCTTTGCCCATTTCTTTTGGAAATAGGATTGTCTTGTCCCACTGCTCAGTTCTTTGGGTGAAGATTGATTTTTAAAAACAAACAAAAAATTGAAAGTTCTAAAGAAAAAAAAGTGAAAAGTTCTCACTTTTTTTCCCTTCTCCTCTCTGTTCTTTCTTCTTTTTCTTTTTCTATTTCTCCCAACAGCTGAGGCTGAGAAACCATGAGTACAGATTCAGTAGCAGGACACACTCAGACTCATGAGCCTTGAGGCCCACAGTGAACTTCCTCTAGGTGGTCTTGTCTTTGAGCCTTGTCTAGGACAGCTGTGAACTAAGAAGGGATTATTCTGTTTTTCTGGAAACATTGCAAACCCATCTGAGAGGCATCTTTGCACTTACCCTGCCATTTTAGGGACTGACTGGACATGAGCACACTGCCTGTGGTCACTGAGTGGCTCTAGACAACCATGCTGCAATGACTCACATGGCTGACAAGTCTTCCATTCACTGTATTTGCATGTCATCCTTGTGCAGAGGCCATGCTAATCTTTTCTGTATCATTCCAATTTTTAGTATATGTACAGCCAAGGCAATCACTGCTATTCACTGTAAATGTGTTACATGTGTCTGTACATCTCTTTTCCTCAGAGTGGGATCCCTGGTCATCAGCATCAGTATCATGTCCAAATGCAAACACTCTGGTCCGTCTGCAGCTGGTGGACCTGAGACTGGGAACAAGGCACCATCTGTGTGTTCACTCACATCTCTCCAGGGAGCTTTAAAGCCACTGGAGGCTGAGAATTGCTGACTTAGAGAGATAGTCACAAAGATAAGAAGAGGTCCCTCCATAGTCTGTAGGGCAAGCCTT